ACTGAATTGAAAAATGTGTATGATCATATCTCATTTTCATCTTTCGCATCACAAATTACAAAAGCAAACATGAAGATCTACGACGGGGCATATAGGGGGAACAGACAACCTGGATGATTATAAAAAAAAAAAAAAAAGAGCTTAAGCTTATTTATAACGGATTCCAGCTTATATAAAACTAAAAACACCCTTTGGTATCTCCTGCATGCCTTGTCAAAAACTCATCTTGAGACTATAATTATTAACAGATAAATAAATGCGAACTCATATTTTTACCCAATTCAAAATCTCGAAAGATAATTGAAAAAAAAAAGATGTGTATTACCGATTTCACAGCTTCATACACACTGTCATCAGTCGCGCACCAGAGACAAAATCCATGTGCTCCTTTCCCTTTGACATTCAGAACATCAGAAATAGTGGTGTTCTCCAAACTGTTCTCTTCGATACGGGCTGCAGAGGTTGACTCTTTGCATGCAAAAATTGGAGCCTCGTGGCTGGTTGAGCCACCCAGACATGGTGGAGAATCGTGTTCTTCAGAACAGTACCACTCGATAAGATTGCTTTGATTAATCCTTACATTTTGCTTTATCTAGCAAAAACAAGAAAGTGCACGACATTATTTTAAGTCGATAAGAGTATCAAAAGTTTGATTCCTACTTGTGATTCACCATCCCGTGCTCGTCGGTGTTGAATTCTACATACTCGCACCCCTTCTCGCCAGCCCCCTTCACCACCACGAAGTTATGCGGCACCAACCGCATGACCCTCAAGTACCTCGCCACTGAACACCGTCTGACCCTGTTGGTTCACCATCTACATCCAGAACGCTTCATGTGTGACATACAAGAAGCTGTTCGCGTTTGCAAACCACTGCGATGCCATTATGTCATTCTCGGTTCTGCCAGAAAATATAAAAATTAGACTTTAATTTGATCAATTGTCTGTTAAAAATTGGCTGTTGGAGCAATAATTGTTGAAAAAAAATACTAATTTGGTTCCCTGTGGTTGCGTCTCTTGATCAAGATCATAGTACCTTTCTTTTCCACTTGGAGTAGCCAACAATCGTTTAGGGATGGATCTGGTTTGGCAAGGACTCTTCAAAGCAAAAGGCTCTCGAACCTCACCATCCTCGTACTCGTTGTCTTCTAGCACCGAATTATTGATAACACTATTCCCTTGGCCAACGCAACCGATTCAGCGCACTCTTCATAGCCTTCAGATAAATCTTCATAGCAATCTCATGGAAACCATCAAATAGTTTCACAAATCTGAAAAACAGTTAAACTAACACCAAATTACCCACAAACTCGTTGAGATCTTGAAATATCAAACACGATTAAACACTACACACATAAAATGCAATCGACAAGATTCAAATAGAAAAAAATAGAAAAATAGAAAACGGAACCTGATTGAGATGCGTCTAGACAACGGGGATATCTACCGTAAATTCCTGACGACTCGCAATTCCAGCCAGTTGTCGCTCGCGAATCGAAGGACCTGAAGGAATCCATTGGTGTTCTTTAGCTCTCACTGCATACTACCAAAAAAATGAGATCTAGATGTGATTGTTGTTCGTTTTGAGAATTGGAAATGAGAGTAACTGCGGATAAGGTTTGTGAAGAGGGGCAGGTGTTTACCTGACCCCGTCTCTATCGTCGACTTACCTACGCGAGATATCTGGCAAAAGGAAGAAAAGAGTGGTTTCGATCTCTGTGGGAAATCTGCAGTTCTGTATCATTTTTCTATGCCGAGATGACATGATCCAATCAGCCATACTGTGTACAACAGTTTCCATTATGGAGGATCAATTTATTGTAATAACCTCAAAAGCTTGTTAAAGCAAGGATAAAAAAAAAGGTAAAGCGGGGCTAATTTGGTTAAAAAGACGGAAAGCGCACCAGCACGTGGATTTAAGTAGTATTGATGAATGTGGAACCAAATTATTGAAGTGAACAATGCAAGATAATTCTACACATTTTCTATTACCATCTGAAGGAAAAATGAAACAATGTGTCCTCAGCCGTTAACATTGAAAAACAATGTAAATACACATTTTCTTATTTGAAACACCTCAAAAACAATGAAAAACAATAAACCAGCACATAAAGATCAGTTCCATTCTCTTATTCAAAATGAAACTACCAAAAAAGGTAGAAACATGTTCCGACAAAAGGGTTTATATTTAAAGACAATGAAAATGCACAACACTCACGATTTTGGGAGCAAAATCTAGCGCGTGATTTCTACGTGTCCAAATCCACGGTTGATAAGCCACGCGTCTTTCGACAAACCAGGCCCATGTGTCCCATCTAATATTGTCGTGATTAGGTTGATGGTTTGCACAAGAAAGGTCCCCAACAAACAACACTTCTTGTCCCTTGACTGGGTTCTCCTCGTAATGTGTAAGCGTACTGTTGGAATCGAAGTCTGACGAAGATCACCTACAAATGAAACAATATTCATAAGTGATATAAACTCACCCTTAGCATCAAGCAAAATTTAAAGATAAAGCTGATATTTCAACATTGCAGGTTTCAGAACTACATTCATCGGGCTTTTTTAACTGCAATTTACAATTTATTTCTCAAAACCAGCTTTAATTTAACCATCTTCAAAATGATCAACATGAAACTGTAAGATTACGACACCATAAACATAGTAATGATCAACACGAAACTGTAAGATTACGGCACCATAAACATAGTATTGTAAATGTTATCAACTCCAAAAGCTTATATATCCACCAGACATTAATGAAACTTAGTTACCTATCTGACCAAACTTCAACGATCCAAATTTAAATGAAACGTAAAATCCAGAAAGCATAGAGTGTTGTTTTCCCAACCCTTTGAGAAGAGTAGCAACTCCATTATACACCTCCATTGTGAAAATCAAATATTAGATGCGGCAAATTCCAAATACGAAATGTAAGATAACAACTCAATCACAAAGAAACCCATTTTGCTTTGAAATCCAAAATAAGTTATTAGAAATGAGGTTCTGTAATTTGGGAGTGCTATTACCAATGCGCCAGTGTGCCACTCGCTACTCTCTGTTGTTGGGCAGTAGCAAATCTGAGATGCCACCCCCATTATTTCGAGCCTCCATCTGTTGCACCTAGTTACGCTGCCGCCATATGCCTGAATCCGATGGTTGGTGCTGCTCACGCACATGGTCTGTGGATCTTCGCCGTCGTCACAGCTTTTGGAGGGTTGTCAACTCAGAGGAATCAAGTGAAATGGATAATAAAAATAGTTTTAGGAAGAGAGAGAGAGAGAGAGAGAGAGAGAGAGAGAGAGAGAGAGAAAATCGAATCTAGCTTAACAATTACGTTTTGCCTTTTCGCAGAGTGCAACCCACCAGATTTTCCGGGCACCAAAACTTCGAAGGACGGCGTCATTTTGAAAGGCAAATGATAAGGAGGCGTTTTTCTGCTTTTTGCCCTTGGGAAAATTTAATTAAACCACACAAAGAGGATAAACAAAAGAGGAAGGTCTTTTAGTCGAGAAAAACTTAGAAAAGCAGCATAACACACAATTCGTCGCCCTTGGGTCGATCTTCTTGACTCCACATCGTCGTCGATTTTATACTCCGATGTCACCTGGTGGTCGCCTCCGGCATGGAGATCCTCATCCACCTGAAGTTCAACGAAGTGAATTTATTTCAATCTCCTTCAATTTCCTTCAAATTCCAAAATAAGAAATAAAACAAAAGATATCAAAAGGACATAATGCTTTGAGTTTGTACATTCATCGTAAACTTAAAAATTCTGGGAATCTTAGCGTAAGTCGACTGATTTATTCTAATTGTGGATGGATTTCCCAAAACATACCTCAAGCATAGCCATCCCAATCCTCATGAAAAAGCACACAATTTTTGAAGTTCAGTTAAAAGGAACAACAAGAAACCAGACATGTAGCAAAATAGTCTTTGATTGAGACAAAACATAAAAATGGCAACTGCTTAACATGTGGATCATAAGTATCCACCAGTTTTACAACAATTAAGAACATAATTTAGATCACAAATGGAAAAAAAAAAGAATGAAGACATAAAAAAATATCTACAATGCAATATGCTCTCACAAATGAATAGACCCCCCAAACCCCTTGAGACTGGGCAAGCACTTCACTAAAACAAGTGGTTAAAAAACTGAAAGAAAAGAGAGAGAGAGAGAGAGAGAGAGAGAGAGAGAGAGAGAG